TCGTCCACCGCTTGTTGTTTTCGGGACATGATGTCTTCAACATTCGCCTCGTACGCCGACGCGTCGGTTGGAGTGCGTGTTCCCACTGAGTTGCCCGTCGCCATCTTTACGCCTTCCGGGTGTTTGGTGGTGGCGCTGTACCGTCGTTCCGCACGAGCTTGCTTCTTGGTCATCACCTGGTCAATGTTCGCTTCATACGCTTCGGGATGTGGGGTGCTGGTGCCTGACACTCCGGATTCGTTGTCTGTCGTGCCGTTGCCGTCGCCGTGCATCTCGATAACCGCATTCTGGATCTCACGCGTGACTCCCTTGAGGGCATCGAGCCCTGCCTTTTCAGCAGCGTGACTGTGGCTCATGGAACGCTTCGCTTTGGGGTCGGTGCGGCGGAGGTACGAGCGAACAAAGAAACGGGCAAACAACCACGTCAGCGGCAAGAGATACAGGACGTTGAGCCAAACCGCAAAAGCCTGGCCGCTGGTATCCATGCAGGAGAAGGTCTGGGGCTCGAGCGTATAGCGAACCTCCTGCTTTCCCAACGCGGCTTCGGCCGCCCGCATACCATCCGAGCCGAATAGGGTGCCATTTGCATTTACGACATTCGCAGCCACGCCTTCATGGCCAGCAGCCCGAAGTGCAAGCTTCTTCAGCCACGAGCCCATCCCACTTTGAGTAGCGTTGGCGACCGCCGCGACAGAAGGCACCACGGACGCCAAGGGAGGGAGGGTGACCGTGTGGGGGACGGGGAACGGGATGGAGTAGTAGATAAAAAGGTGACTGGCTGCAAGAGAGGTGCCTAGGATGAACTGCAGGATCTGCGTCGTGGTCAAGGATTTTTTGATGCGGACAGGGATAGGGAATTTGAGCGCCGTCAACGTATAATATGTGTACTGCGACTAGGTTAGCTTCCCGGTCCCATTGCAGGCAAGGAAAGATGGGGTGTCTCATACCATCATCGCATGGATGGCGGAGTTGACAAGAGCGAAGATCCAGATTGGAGAAGCCATGTACCGAATGCCGGCCCACATGCACATCATGGCGCCGGCATGGTGGTAAGTTTGCAGAGTCGAACTCTTCTTCCCCTTTGCCAAGATGATGGCAGTATCCAGAACCTCATAGAATTTGGAAAGATAGAAAATCCAGCCGAAAAAGGCGAGACCCTTATTCCAGAGTCTACCAACGTCGGTCGGGTCAGGGGTATTGCCGGGGCCCAACTTGTATTCCGGGTTGAGGATGGTCCACGAATCGGCATTGGTATCGTACACGGCAGCATTTCCGAGGCCTCGAGGGCCATTGACCTTGCAAAGCGCGTCCACCACATTCACCAATCCATTGCCGTGCATCTCTGAACGCGCAGGCATGGATTCACGGAACGCGTTCAGCATGCCGACAAAGGTCCACGCGGAATAGATTGCTAGAAACACATTGTGCAAGACGACAAAAAGGTGGAAAGCCTTGGTTTTGCTGATCGCCCACGGCTTGTAGCCTCGCTTCTTGTTGACACGATTGATGAGGATGACGGTTGCGGCGTACACGGCGGCGATGGTGATAGGAACCTGCACCTTCAGAGCATCGTTGTACAGCTTTGGCGGGATGGTGAACGGCTGAAGCCACGAGCGCTCCGCAGGAGGGGCGGGAATGGTGTGCGGTTGGGATCCCGGTGGAAATTTGAGGAGCGAGCGTCGAGGAAGGCCGAAATGCACAGAAGGCATGTCAGGCCGCTGTGAAGACAGCCAGGATCGCATGGTGGGCTGTTGATTTGCGCAAGCGTCAGACGAGGACGTGTCCTTGTAAGGGGAGAGTCGCGAAGAAAGACGGGGCCGGCGAGGGTTATATGCTGGCTGCTGCCAAAGCAGTACTGGGTCGGTGTCACGGTAAGCGGGCGGTCTGAGCTTGGATCTGCGAAAGATTAGATCATCCCGGCGATCGCGCTCTTCTCAGTTACTCGGCTTGACGGAGCATGCAGCGGGAGACAGAGAGAGGATGCTTTCCAGCGGGGGGCTCTGACAATGGGGACGGGGTGACGGTGTTGCAATGCAGAGCTGGATTGGACTCTATCCAGAGAGGGCGGGATCAGGGAATGGAGACAGAGAGACAAACAGGGAACCGAAGAGCCATGATGCGGCCGTGGGTGGTTTAAGAACAGAAAAAAAGATCAGACGAAACGGAATCTGTTGGGAAAACAAGCAATACAGGTGAGCTTGTGCAATTGGCCAATGGGAGTGCAGCGTGGCGCCGAGGTTGATGCCTCTTTGGGTTTAGCCGATACAGACCAGCCGGGTACTGTGGTATCGATGTCGTCATTGACACCCGGCGTATTTGCATTACCGGTCTTTGTGGCCGCGACGCCCAGAAGCAGCGTGTATTGCCGTATTGCTCTGTTTTGCAGATTCAGCCCTATCTGCAGGTGTTTGCTCTGTTCGTTTAGTTTACACTGTTTGCTCGTTCTGCCGCCTCAACGCAAGTCCTTGTCCACCGCCTTCCCAGTTGGGCCTCGGCTGCACGTCGCTTCTTTCTCGAGTCTCGAACCTCACGTCTTCGCTTCTCTCGTCTCTCCTCGTCTTCATCACCCGCCATCTCTAGCAGTCCGCATCTTCTACAGTCACCATGCTGTTGGCATTGAACTGCATCCCCCTGCTTCGGGAACTCAGCGCGGCGTTGCGCATCTCTTGACAGGGGCAGGCCGCTTTTTATGTAACATGTTGGCAAAGGGCCCCAGCGAGACTGCAGGAATGGTTTCCTTCCTAAAAACATGTATCCTTTGTTTTTCAATGCAGCAATCTGTCAATTTGCTCGAGAATTGGCGCTGAGTCAAGTCTACTCCGAATTTCATATGGAGGCGTTGCATTTTATCAACATACTCACCTCGCGATGCTGGAGCTTGGACCTGTTGTCTGGATGTGGGACGAGCACACAAGCATCTCCTCTCCCCAACGGTTTTTAAAAGCGGAGCCGTTGTTTTGTATGCATGAATTCTCTTATTTTCCATTGAACGGCGACCCATCTCTCAAATACCCGTTTCACATGGGTCGTCTCAAGTCTGGGCGACGAACCCGAGGTACATACAACTAATGGCAGCAATTATAATCCACTCTCGCGAAACACATTTCTATTGTCCAATCGCTATGCGTTAAAATCAACAACATATCGCCCCGCGACTTGTCCGCGCCGCAGCTTCTCAACTGCTTCTGGCATCCTTTCTATCGGCCATTTCTCATAGATCGGTTTGAGGAGCCCCTATCATTATTCCATCAGTGCCTGGATGCATCAACGCCTACTTTTCCGCTCCAGAGACTTACCCGCTTGGCAAAATCGAGGGCCCGGGCAGTGTCTTTCATCGACCCAACCAGCGTGCCCACGACAGACATGTTTTTGAAAACAAATTGCGCAGGATGAGCGCCAAACACGTATTCGCTTGCCGATGCTGTGTCTCCAGTTAGCCGACTACGGCCTTGTTCGCCCCTTGCGATTTGAGGACTTACGCAGCCCGATACACATAACTTTGGCCCCAACCCGACCACCGAGAAAGGAGATGGCATCCCTGTATGCTTGAGGCGCTGTCACAAAGACCGCATGGGCACCAATTCCGTCGCAGAGTTCCACGATTTCGTTGGCCACGTTTTTACTCTCCTTGAAATCCACAAAGTGTTCTGCCCCCATTTTCAAACACAGCTCTCTCTTCGCATCTCCAGTATCGATCGCGATAGCCCGTATCCCCATGGCTTTGGCGAGTTGAACACCCTGGATGCCGACACCGCCTCCTCCTCCTGGGAAGACCGCCCATTCCCCGGGCCGTAGTTTGGACTCCTCGAGGCTGCGAAGGACTGTTGAGGCGCTGCACATGATAGGCTAATTCCCCAACCACAGGAGCACGTCAGACAGCGCGTACAGAAAATGGATCTAGCTTTTTTTCTGGACCTGAGCTTACCGCCGCAATCTCGTCAGGGACGCCATCAGGAATTGGTGTCGTGTAACTCGCTGGGCTTGTGATATACTGTTGATATGTTCCAGCAACCTGTAGACCCGTGGAGATAGATTTGGGACAATAAGTCTCCTTGTCGCCCCAGCACAGTTCGCAGGAACCGCATGTATTCCACATTGGCTTTACGCCTGCCCTATCACCGACCTTCCAGTTCTTCACGTTGGATCCTACCTGAACGACGACACCGGCACCTTCATGGCCCGGCGACCGTACGTTGTTCCCGCCCATAGTAGGCCCGCCCAGGTCTCCAAGCATGAAATGGATATCGGAGTAGCAGAGGCCGGTGATATTTAATTTGATGAGAACCTCATCCGGTCCTAAATACAGTCAGTCCAAACGCTATCTCTGACCCGCGTAGCAGCGATGTTCTCACCGGGCTCCGGAACTGGGACATCTTCCACCTTCAAGACGAAATCGGGCCCTTCGTTATAGACAACCCCTGCCTTACACGTCTTGGGGATTTCATGGCGAACTTCCGGTGTCTTGTCCGTAACTCCAACAGCCATCTTGCCTTTCTAAACGTATACCTTCATAAGAATCTACGGAACAAAGGAGCTCGAGTAGGGACTTTGGTCATATATAGCCCGACGCCTCAGACCCCCGCCATCGGCTCTAACAGCATGGTTTGATCAAACGAGAATAAACGCTCATGAAGAAGAATAGTACTGTGTTGGTGGCGGACCAGTGGAAACGCCCCGCAGTGGCTGTCAACAGAGCGGAATTAATATCATGAGTTGCTCGGTTGACGGGAAATATCAACGCGAGACTCCCGGCTTCAACCCAGACCCCATGGGGCATGGATCGTGGGGTAGTTATAGCTCCAGAGTAACTAGTGGACGGAACTTTAATAAGACACGAAGATATCCTCTGGCCCTGAAGGGGTTTCTCGGCATCGAAAAGCGGCAATAGAAGCTCCGTGCTCGCTAACAACTGCGATCTCGCACTCAATGAACCGCCGACTGGCGTTTGGTTCAACTCATGTTGATGGATTATTAGTTACCTAGTTATGACACTGCCGCCCCTCATTTTTTAGATGGTTATGTAGACAAGACATAAAACGCCAATTGCGATGATGCACACTGTACTCTGTAAAAGTCAATGATATTATTACAGTTCAAGATGAATGAATGCCATGCTTTTGACCGACCACCGCCATCTAGGGGATGGGCCCGGTGGGACAAGCTGCGCTTTTGGGAGAACGTTGGTGTTGGCGCGGAGGAACTGCTGAGCCTGCATACTACTTTGTGGATGGAGAGAACAAGCAAAGAAGAATGTCTTCGATATCAGTCTCCTGTGCTTCAGCCTGGCTTTTTGCACAGTTAACTATGTAGTGAGACCACCTGGATGCAGATGAGATCTGATTTCTGCTTCTATGGCTTGGCTGCCAGTCCATTCCGAGTAGATAGATACAATGTCTCTTTGCTGCACAGGTTTCTCATCGCCTTCCACCCGCATATTCTGGCCTGTACTCTTTGGCGCCCCCAGTTTTCATCAGCTCCCTCAGCGCCATTGTAGCATACTGGCTCGCACCGAGCTGGAATTTGATCACCACCGCCAGCTTCTTCTCCTTTGCAGCGTCCATCTGCTCATCCTGGACGCTCTGCTGTTGATTGTTCGACTCGCCCTGCGCATCGCTGGCTTTCTCGCGGATCCGCTCCAGGTCAGTCTTGATGAACTGCTCATTGTCGTCCGTATACTGCTTCACTTCGAATGAATAGTCCGCACCTGGCCGGCTGAGAATCTTCCGATACCCGCCGCTGAGGCTGATGTCCTTCCACTGCCTGCGCATATCGAACGGGTCGAGTTTACCGCCCCGCTCACTGCCCATGAAGGTCTTGTAGAAATCCGTCAATTGGTTCGGAGGGTAGATGATGTCGTATCCGGGAAGCGGGAGCACGACATCGAAAATCGTGTATTTGCCGCTCCCCGCCTCTTCACTGGTCAGGGGCCGGGCGCGCTCGAACACGCTGTCGGCGGAAACAGCGCTGTCGTTGGTGTTGGGCAAGACGATAGCTTCGCCATCCGCATCCACCTCTTCCGCCATCGCAGCTCTGGAATCGTCGGTCTCCTTGAACTCGTGGATCAGCACCAGGTCGCCCTCGACGACGCGGTCGCCGTACAATCGCCAGCGCTCTCCGGCGGCGTGGTTCCAAACGAGAGCCTGGTAAGCATGCACATATATCAGCCGCAGATTCCGCGGGATCGTCTGTAAAGCGCCCAAGTAATCATTCTTTTTCCGGCCAAGGTGCTTGATGATTGCTGACTCGGCCGTGAACTTCCTCGGCATTTTCGCCAATGCTGGGCCAACTTCGCCAGTCGACTGGAAAACGTGAATCGCCTCTGCTCGCAAGATATCGTCCGGACCCATCAGATGTCCTCGCCGGCGCGCCGCTGCCTTGCGCCGCATCCAGACTCTCTGGGGTGCAATGTAGAATGCATTCGCATGCTCCCCTGAGGTCGAATGGTAACATCTGGAGGCCGACAGTGTCAATCCGGGTTGTGAACGTGCCAAACCGTTGCAGTCCGAAGAAGTTGAAATAACCTCTTTCATGGAGATTCCGCAGCGACTTGGACACTACCTCAGAAACGTCTGGCACTGCGCCACCATCAAGGGCAGCCGGAAATTCGCACTCTCGAAGAGTGATCACAAACTCATTTCCGCCCAAATCACCCAGTTCCAGCCCTTGCTTCTCATATTTGAAGTCCCCCACTGCGGCGTTGCGCAGCGTGCGATTCATATTGGCCAATCTACCAGCATCGAGACGGAACGCGCTCGCCCGCTGAACCGTGACACCCCGTCGGTCTTTTGTTCCCGCAAATTTGAGTCCTTTGATGCCGAGTTTCAACTGGCGAGCTAGGAAATTCATAACTTCCATGGTATCCTTGTTCTCCTTGTAGACTGTGAAGTGTAGGTACTCGCCGCCAACTTCACTCCAACCCAGCTTGCCTCTCCGGTTGTCCGCGACACCGCCCTTCATCTGGGATTTCAGCCTTTTAATAGGAACAGGGGAAAGGAGTAGAGAGTTGTCGCTTTCGGTTGAGGATTCTATCCGGCCGCCAAATATACGTCGGAGAGCCTGGTGGACGATGGTCCTCGTATCCTTCTCGGGGACGGGTTCGGATTTCACACGGCCTAGATCGCCAGCTTTCAGGTGCGGTTTGGCAAGTGCACGACCATACAGCTTAACAACCTTTGCCGTGACATCTGCGCCTAGATACTGCTCCAAGAGCTTTTGGTCCTGCTCCGAGATCTAAGTAGATTGCCATCCGTGAGCTCCAACGTCAACACAATTGCGCTGAGCAAAACATACCTGGGACTCCAATTGCCCGTTGTCAGCGGCAGCCGTTGTTTCTGCCGCTTCGACGACCGCGTCGGAGGTCCCATCGTTCTGCTGCCGCGGTTCTGACACAGTCTCCGTCGTTGGCTGGGCGGGGGTTTCGTTTGGTGGTTCACTCGCCTTCTGCGCCGAAAGCTCTCGCGAGTCTGGTCTCAACGACGCGGGCACCTTAAGGTCCTGCAGGTGTAAGACCTGGCCGGATGGGAGGATTTCATTGACAAGGAAATCGGTGTATCTGACGAATGGAGCCAAGGCTAAGTGAGTGACTGAAGCGGGCACGCGGGTTTCCCAATCTCACCTCTTTTTTAAGATGCCCGAAAACCCAGGTAAATCAGGGCAAACGAATCCCGTAATCCCAACTTCCGCCTCTTTCAATGCCTGCGCATCTGCCGTAGGCGCTGCTTGGAGGTCAGCAGTGGCCGGTGCGCCGGGGGCCACGACAGCTTGGTGATCTGAAATCTTCAAGCGCTTTCGCGGTGAGTCGGCGCCAGAAAGGTGTTGCTCCATCTTCGCGGTCTTCTGACGGGTGAGCACCGGAGAGTCCGTTGTGGTTTTGGGTGGCCTCGTTCGACAGCAACTGGGTGCTGACGGATTGACTTTACGCGACCC